GTGTAACAGAGGAGAACTGCCCCACAGCGTTTCCTAGGCTGTCATCTATTGTGTCACTATATACTCATATATACTCTTATAGATCATCCACTCACAGCGCCCCCTGGTGTAACAGAGGAGAACTGCCCACAGGGTTTCCTAGGCTCTCATCTATTGTGTCACTGTATACTCATATATACTCTTATAGATCATCCACTCACAGCGCCCTCTGGAGTAATGGAGGAGAACTGCCCCATAGGGTTTCCTAGGCTGCCATCTACTGTGTCACTATATACTCGTATATACTCTTATATATCATCCACTCACAGCGCCCCCTGGTGTAATGGAGAACTGCCCCAGAGGGTATCATGCTTGGTAAGGTGGAGGGTCAGAGAAAGAAAGGAAGACCCCTAACGAGATGGATCAGCCAGGTGGCATCATTGATGGCATCAAGTGTGGCAGTGGTAGTGAGGCTGGCCCAGGATTGGACATTGTTTCGTTCTGCTGTGCATGGGGTCGCTATGAGTTGGTTCTGATTCGATGGCACCTGACAACAACATCTTTATAGCTAGAAGCAGAGCTCCCAGACCTACAGGTGGTTTTGAACTGCCAACCTTTGGGTAATAGCTGAGTGCTCAGTACCATCAGGGCACTTGTTTATGAGATTGTTGTTATTAAGTGCCAAGTCAGTTCCAACTGATAGGGAGCCTGTATAGGGCTTCGGAGGAGCAGCTGGTGGGTTTGAACCTCCAACCTTGTGGGTAGCTCTCCAGTGGTATCCTATAGGCCCACAACAGGACTCTGTTTATGAGTTAGGTCCTATTATTAGCTCCATTTCCTCAGTGATGAAATCAACACTGAAAAAGGTTGACCGTTGGATCAGAAACAGCAAAGTCTCAACTGGAACCTGGCTCCCCAAGTGACGGCCCGTGCTCCCCCGCCCGCCATGTTGTTCCTGGTGGGACCAGGCCACCCCCTTAGGGAGACATCAGTGAAAACAAACCACATTCATTCTGAGCCTAATTTTAGATGTAACATTTCTTATTTTATTGGAAAAAGCTGGTATTAACATATTTATAATTTTATTCAACAATTGGATAATTTGTGAGACACACACCCCCCCAAAATAAAGAATGCAACCATGAGCGAGAATCTCAGATGCTCAGATCCGTCTACTCGACCTGCACAAACCCTATGCCACCAAGAGCTTTGTCATCAGAGAATATTACAACAAAAAGCCCACCAACTTCACAATGACTATGCGAATGTCATGACAGTCAAGAAGACAAGTTTAAACACAGAAAGGATGCAAAGTTTGTGACTACCACACCGGCCCTCCCATCCAGCCCCTGCACATCTTTGCCGGACACAGTCTGCTATGGAAGTCTTTCTTTTCCAGGGATCCAAAGATCTATGTTCCTGCTAACAAGTTCTTTTCCTTCCCTCCCTCTTCCCTTCTTTCTGCCTTCTCTCCCTCCCTCCCTCCCCTTGGCTTTTCTCTTTGGTTTGCTAACCAAAGTTTAATACGGAAGTAAAGAACCAGGAATTCTATTAAAACCTTTTCTAAAAGAAACATACTATCAATTTGGACTTTGAAGATGGTAAATGCTAACTATACGATTTTACAGCAGTCTCTACTGCAAATGCGTGTCCTCTGCGCGTCTGTGAACCGCAAAGGGAATGAAAGGTCGTGCCAACTATCCGCGTAATGCGTAAGGCCCTCAAAGCGGGATTTTGGCTTCAACAGATTTCTATACAATTGACCACATTCTTGAACCTCTTTACAAGAGAAAGCGCACACGCTGCAGCCTCTGATTGTTAGGTTTCCTTAAAGTCCGTATGTACATACAATACTGTCCAGGCCGTCTGGGTTGGGAGTGATGAGTTGCTTAAGAAAAGCCGATGGGGCCATTGCACCGTGGTTACATGGCCGGAAGTGAGTGCGCATGCGTTTGTGCTTATACACACGCGTAACAGTTGTCCGCTGAGAGTCTCCACGGTTCTGCTTCCTGGGTTGTGTTGGACTCTGTGGGCCCCTGGCTGCCCCTGCTTTCTGGATCCGACAAGAAGCCACGTTGTAGCTGCGAGTCCACGGGTGGGGGAACGGGTCGGTGGGTCTGCAGGGAATGGGGAGTCCATGTGGAGACACCGAGTTGTGCCCCAAGGAGGCGTTCCCAAACAAAACCGTCCCCTGAGACTGTGAGTTCTCAAGAAAATGTATTCTAAAATGGTCCTAACATGCAATTTTCATTTGGAGGCAGTTCAGTTCATCTGAAAATGGAGCTATGGTTCTGGACATGGGATGAGGCGAGGGGTCATCCGGCCATCTTCCAGTCCCTATCTGGGTTGTCCGCCAACCCTCAACGTCATCACATCTTCGCAGGCTGGAAGGCCGGGTCCTTCTAGAACCTTCCAGGCTAGGTTGTAGCCTTCGTGGAAGTCAGCGATGTGTGCTGGATGTTTCATCGTGGGGGACAAGGGGGTGACCACTAACACACCTTTGAGCCCCAGCACTCAGTGAGCATGGGCGTGTAGGAGGACAGGATGGAGAACCCCCAAGGTCATCGGGGGACTCGGGAATGCGAGGGAGACCCATATGCATGGACCGCCCCACGGCCTGGACACTCGTGGGCTGAGTTCCTGAGGCCAGCAGGCCTGCGTCCCCCTCCTCTGGGGCACCGGGGTAGACCTAGGGTATTTAGAGACAGGAGAAGAACCTAACCGAGGGCCTTCGATCTGCTAACTCATCTCCAACGCCTCTGGACAGTGGACTCTCACCATGGACGCCGCAGACCCCGGCGGCTGGCGCCATGCTCCGTCCCCACAGCTTGACCCGAGGCTCCTGGAGGGAAAAATGAACCGAGAGGCCAGGAGCGCCAGGAGTGGTCAGAGTCCGCAGACGCGGAACCTGAGCTCCCAAACCCCGCCGGCACGCACGCAGCCTTGGTCTGTGGCCGTGGACCGTGGTTCTCCTGCTCGTCCCAACAGACGGTCACCTTGGGCGACACCTGTGCCGGGCACCTACTGCATCTCGGAGTTGACCCTGTCCTGGAAGATGTACAGGTTGTTGGTGGCGGCGATGGCGATGATGTTCTCGGCCGGGTGCCAGGCCGTGTGCAGGATCTTCTTGGTGAAGTCCAGGCTGTCCACGCTGATGTCGTCCCGCCGTCGCTTGCCGCCCGCGCACACCCGCCGCGGCTTGAGCACGGCGCGGGGCTTGCTGCTCTCCCGCGAGGCCTCCAGCGTCACGTCGCGCTTCGTGTTGCGGTCGAACATGCGGAAGAAGTTGTTGTAGGCCCCCGTCATGATGACGCTGCGGGAGAAGGGCGGTCAGGGGAGCCCCCTGGAGGCGCAGCCCAGCTCCGCACATCCTGCTGGGCACCGGTGGGGAGCGCGGGCCCGCTGCACCGCGCCCCCTGGTGGCCGCATGGTGGAAAGGCGGGCAGGGTCCCCAGACGTGCACCTACACCGAGGGGAACCCTGGGCACACACCTTGTGGGGATTGGAATCACCTCTCCCTCTCCTAGGTCTCATACCCCCGCAAACCCTGGGTGTGGGTCAGGGGTATCCGGGGAGCTTGGAGAGGCTATCGCGGGCCTCTGGGCTCACCCCGTGCAGTACACCCTCCTGGTCTGCCCTGTTCTCCTGGCTTCTCCCTTCCCCCTGTCCCCTGTCCAGTGGTCACAGAGGGTCAGCAGGTGCGCTTACAGGACCACGGAAGCCGGGCCCCACAGGGAAGTCTGGGCACCATTCTGCTCCGCTCTGGAGCTCAGAGGCCAGAGCTCCGAGCTGCAATAAGGGAACTTTCACATTTCAGAACCTCAGTCCCGCTGACCCCGCAGACCCCCGCAGACTGGAGTCCGGAGTTGTGATATGGCCCCTGGCAGCTGAAGGAGAGCTGTCCGGGGCCGGTGATGGTGAACACCCCTGGGAAGGCCAGAAGACCCCTCACGCCCCACCCCCCATAACCTAGGGCCGGCTGTGTGGTCAGAGAACCTAGATGGACTGAATGTTCCCACGGTCCTCCTGGGAGGAGCTCAGTCAGGTTCAGTTACAGAATTGGGAGCTTCACTTCCTGTGCTGGGAACTTGAGACCCTGAAGGCTGGAACTGATTACAAAAGAGGGGGCTTGTCTGAGCCCCCTGCACATCCCCTGGCCCTCTCGGGGGGCACGGGCACGAGGCAGGCAGGGTCCAAGGGCGGGCTCTACCTGTCGCTGCCGTTCCAGGCGCACTCGAACTTGTCGAAAATGCAGTCGTTCTCATACAACGAGCAAAGTTTACTGCGAAGGTAGTCGTGGACCTGGGGGGCGGGGAAGGGGGGGTGTGTGAGAGACGGCGTCCACACACCCTGCCTAGCCCACCTCGCACAAGAAGGCACGGGCTGTGGAGAGCTGTGTCCACAGAGGGCGCAGTCACAGTGACAAAGGGACAGCAGACGCGGCTCCACCCCTCCCAGTCATGTGACCTCAGGCAGGCAGCCGGCCTCAGGGAGTGGGGGGGGTAAGTGCCCTGAGGGGGCCATCAACATGACAGTGATGTGAGCACCAGCCTCTCAGAGAGGTCAGTGCCCGGCGCGAGGTCACACAGCACACAAATGTCTGAGCCGGGCGACCCCGCAATCATGCCAAGCCCCGCCCCCTCCACTTGATTGACACAAACACAGAGCAGGGACCCTCCCACGGGGCGGGACTCGAGGCAGCAGCCGGCGACACGGAGCTGGGCTCAGTTCCTAGCTCTGCACGTGCTGTGAGGTCAGAGTCCCATCTGGAGAAGGGAGCCGCATGGAGGGTGAGCCTGGCACCGCACTGGGGAGCTGAGCTGGCCACATTCTATGTGAAGTGGAAAGCACGCTTGGGTTCACTCGCCCTTGTGAGGTTTTTTTTTGTGTGTGTGTGTGTGTGTGTGTGTGTGTGTTTTTCTATGCTATTGTTAAATGCCGTGGAGTCGGTTCCGACTCACAGCGACCCTGTACAGGGTTTCGGAGGCTGTGAATCTTTACAGGAGCAGAACGCCTCATCTGTCTCTCGTAGAACAGCTGGTAGTTTCGAACTGCTGACCTTGGGGGTCGATTGGTAACCGAACCTCCTATTCGCCGGCTCTGCTCCGAGGCTCCACCCCGTACCTGGGATTTCTGCCCATTCCATCTCTACATGAGGTCCCTTTCAGTCCTACACCCCTGTAATCCCTGCTTTGTGTTTTCATCTTCACCAGTTACAGTCTGGGGGGGTGGGGGGGGGACACTCAGGTCCCTTCTGGTCTCCTCACACTCCCTCCTTAGGGGACTCCATCATGACCTCTGGCCTTACCCCTGGGTCTCTTGCCCCCACAACTTGGTCCCCCATCTCCCAGATGGCTTCCTGAACCCCCACCCCTGGTTCCCTGGCCCACATCTCCCAAGTTTCCAGGCCCCTCACCACCCAGGTTTCCTGCACTCCATCCCTGGATCCCCTGATCCCCTGGACCCCCAACTCCCAGGTCCCTTGTCCCCCAGTTACACCAGGCCAAGGGTCACTGTGTTTGTATTTTCTGGAGTCCTGGATGTTGGAGACCACTGAGAACTAGTCACGAGGAAGGGAGTCACGTCTGGACGATGGCATGAGGAAGGGAGTCACGTCTGGACGATGGCATGAGGAAGCGGCACACCACTCGTGACTCATGACAAGTGTAATATGTCGGCACACTGATGTAGAACGCAACGCTCACATGTGCTTACTCAGACTCGGAGTAGTGCTCTGGGGTTAATGAAAAGCTAATTAATGGGTCTGTTTTTGAGGAAATGTACTGACCTGAAAAATCAAACCGTCTCCGATGTCTTTTTGATGTATGTGTTCCTGGGCGGTTTCATGGACTGCAGAGCCTAATACTGAGACCTGCTTTATCTCGGGGCTCTTGATCCTAAAGATCAGGAGTCCTGCAGTCTCTCTTAAACCTTAACCTGCGTCCTGTGTTTTATTTCTAAAGTGGCATCGTCTCCTTCTAACCCTGGTTGCGTGAGCTGGCTCAGGTTTTTTCCAATTCACCCCCATCTGCACCTGTGCCCGGTGACTGCCTCTTATTCCTGCAGCGAACTCTTTCCTCTCCCGCCCTCTGGTGGCAGGTGAGGAGATAGCAGCTAGGGATCCACCAACCTCCTTCAGCAAGACAGGGAAAACACCTGACGCCACACCTCCCAGGAGTCCTGGTGTGGCGCTGTGGGGTAATGCACCAGACTGCATAGTTGTTTCCACTGCAGAGTTGGCAGTTCAAGCTCACCAGCTGCTCCTTGGAAACTCCATATGGGTTTGTACCGACTCCATATGGGTTGGAACCGATTCGATGGTTAACAACAACTCCCAGGATGGATGCGGGGGTCCAAACCCCTCCTCCTGTGTCCCCCTCAACCCCAGAGGCCAGAACTGATCATTCATTTCTACGCAAGCGAGCTGTCATAAGTCTTCTGGGGAAGATCCCAAGAGCATTCTTGCTACCCACATAAAAGGTGCAACCAATGGCTTTTCTCATTTTCTCCTACTCCCTGCCTGGAATGTGGGTGTGGTGTCTGGAGGTGCAGTAGCCATTCTGTGACCATGAGGCATCACACATGGAGATGGGAAACCAACACCCAGATGATGATGGGCTGGATCCCAGAAGGAGCCTGGCACACTGAGGTGACTATGGAGCCACTTGTCACTGACTGCCCTCCTCTACTCACTGTCAGGGGAGGAAAACAGCCCCTATTTGTAAAGGCCCACTCACAGCTCTCCAGAGCAGCCGAGCCACACAGCTTCATACCATGGCCTATAACATGGGCAAATGGGAGGCCCCCGTTTCATAGATGAGGGAGCCCCTTCCCCAGGAATTCTTAGCACAAGAACACTGTGGATCTTCCAGTGGCAGAACCCCCTCCCGCCCTGAGGTTTGCCAACTGAAGTGCCCACCTGGTAGGTCTCAATGGGTCTTGCCTCCATGTTCAGGTCCCAGACCTTGACGGTGAGGTAGTCCCGTGTGAGCAGGTACCGGCCACTGTGGCTGAACTTGACATCCGACACTGAGGAGATGATCTCTGAGAAGAAGGAGCGGTTACTGGGGTCCTCAGGCTCCTCAAACACTGTGGGTAGACAGAGAGGCAATGGCCATCATGGGTGTACTCCCACCTCAAGGGATGCACAGGGAGCCATCTGTCCACTCGTCCACCCACCCACCCATCCATCCATCCATCCACCCACCCATTCACCCACCCATCCACCATCCATCTACCCATCCACCCGTCCATCTATCCATCCACCCGTCCATCCATCCACCCACCCATCCATCCATCCACCCACCCACTCATCCATCTATCCACCCACCCACCCATCCATCCATCATCCATCTATCATCCATCCACCCACCCACCCATCCACTCACTCATCACACTTATCAGAACCTCCAAAGATGGCAGAACAGGCTCTAATCTAGGAAGGGCTCAGCTGTGGGAGCAACATTCTCTCAGATTTTACTTCTGCCTTTAATCCTTGAATAAAATGCTAGGTCAGCACCATTATCAGTTCCACTTTATAACTGGGAAAGCAAAGGCACCGATGACTGAAATCCACGCTTGTGTTCTCAGAGCCAGGAACGCACTGGGCTGTGCGCCTTGGTCTGCATGCGATACTGATCACAGTGGTGATGCTGAGCACCAGATGGCCAAGGTGTCCTGACATTCTCGAGAGTGCCGGACAGCGTCCATCCACACTGAACACTGTGTGGAGCTCTGGCACAAACTGACCTGTCCCTTCTCTCTGTTCCGTGGATGCCTACGAAGCCCTGCTGGCTGTCATGGGGGTTATAACATCGAATCCCACCACCCACAGAGACTTGGGTCTCGCCACCAGCCTGCCTATTATCCTACACACATAGGGAATTGCTTACCTGGCCCTGAAGGCAGCAGTTTGCTGCCCTACCTAGGGGATTCTGGGTAGTGTGTGGCTCCCTGCAGAACCCTTCCCCTGCCCCCAACACCCAGGCCTCCCGACATGCAGTGGTCCGAGCAGCAGTACCATTCTGTTGAACAGACAAGCCTGCATGTCTGTTACTGTGTGTCCCACACCACTTATCAGCCCACCCCTCACTGGCCAGTGGAATTCAGCAACTGGGGTCCCTGCAGGGCCAGACATGGACCCATTAGCATCCCTCCAGGCCCAGCCTTCAGGAAATGGAGGTGGAGTGGACTAGGCAGGCATTTGTCAGTGAGATGAAAGGCTAACCCAGCTAGTGGTGCCCATGGCAACCAGCTGAATGGTGCCCTACCTGCTGGCCTGTGCCTGAACCAGGGAGGCAGAAATGCTGATAACTCTGTGAAGCCCTTTCCTTCCCACAGCCTCCCAGTCCCAGGTCTCAGACCTGTCCCAGCCCTTCAGCTCTTATCTGAGACCTCTAGTCTCCATCTTGTCCAAGATGCTGCCCCTGGCCACTGGCCACTGCCTTCTCTAGACAGAGATACAACCCTGCCTTGTCCCCTCTGCGGGTAAGTGGGAAATGTCCACACAGAGCTGACAGTCTGGTAGACTCATTCATTCATTCATCTCAAAAGACAGGCAACGCTGTTATTCATCATCCCAACACACACACCTGCACTTTCCTTGCACGGACAAGCAGTAAGATGTCTCCCACTAACTGACGGGTCACCCCTGCAATTACTGAGAGTCCTGGGTCAGCCCCAGCTCCCATAAGGATCTGAGTCAGCAGAAATCTGCGCCTTGTTTGAACGTCTGTAAGTAAGACGCCCCCCTCCACGCTGGTGTCCCTTGGAGTCCCCAAGATGCACACATGGAAGGGTGGGAAAACCTCACTCCCAAGGGTGGAGAAGACAGGGACCCCAGCTGAGGCCTCAGGAGGATAGGGCTGGGCTCTGCAGGACGTCTGCAGCCCTCTCTGCCTAAAGCCCTCCATGGCTCACCAGTACCCTGGGAATAAGGGTCACCGCACATGCAGCCAACAAGCTCCTTAGTGATCAGACCACCTGACCTCACAAACACGTTCCCCTCCTGTGGCCACAATTCAACCCCCTTTCCACCACAACTCCAGGGCCAGAGAGGTTGAGGAGAGCCCAGCAACCAAGATGGAAAAACTGAAGGCTGTTGTTAAGTTCTGACCCATAGCGACCCTGTATAGGGTTTCCGAGGCTGTAAATCTTTACAGGAGCAGAAAGCCTCATCTTTCTCCCGCGGAACAGCTGGTAGTTCGAACTGCTGACTGTGAGATTAGCTCCCACCCGCAATTCCCACAGGATGGGGCAGAAGCAGTACATGAGAAAGCTGCAGACAGGAGACTCTCAGCAGCTGTGTGCCCTTAAGTAAATGTCTTAGCCTCTCTGTGCCTCCACGTGGATGGAGGTGGCACAGCAGAGATGTTTCGTGCCAATCTCCGGAACCTGGGTGCACCTGGGTAGCCACAGTGGGAAACAGGATCAGCAGATGTGGTAAGTTAAGGGTCTCAAGATGGGGGGGGGGGGGGGGGGGGGGGGGGCGGCGGGAAGTGACTCTGGATTCCCCCAGGTGGGCCTAAGACAGAAGGAGGAGCTGAGCCAATGGGAGCAGAGGATGGAGGAGGGACCTCTAGTCAACTCCATGGCGCCCCCATGTGGCCAGAGCAGAACTGTGCTCCATGGGGCTTTCAATCATTGATTTTTTGGAAGCAGATCACCAGGACTTTCTTTCAAGGCACCCCGGGTGGACTCAGACAACCAGCCTTTCAAGAGCATTCACTATTTGTACCACAGATCCCCAGTACCCCCGCGCCTGCTCCCCGAGAAGACTGCACCATCAGGAGCAGAAATGGTGTCTATTTTGTGGGTGCCTGACAATCACAGGGACCAGCAGACAAAAGGTGCTCTGGAGAAGAACAGGAGACTGTGGACTGGGGCGGGGGGCTGTCCCCGAAGCCTTGGCTTCCTCACCTGTGAGAAATGAACACCCACTCACCACATGGACATCCCTTCACTGGACTTCACCTGCTGGGAAAGGGGGTCACTGCCAGCTGCACCTAAACCCCAGAAAAAGGGGCAGAATTGAAAGGGGAGGAAGCTGGATCCTCTAACCTCCGAGTCCCTTTAGCAGATAAGTTCCGTTAGCTCCAGTAACAACCAGGAGTCAACCAGTGCTCACCTTCCCGTAGAAGCAGGATGAGCACAATCTGCACACGGCACACAGACTGGCACACATTTCAACTGCCCACTGCCTGGCAGGGACGGGTTAACCAAAAGACACCCCAAAGGCCACGCCCCAAGAAGGGCAAACCACACAGCCCATTTGGACGTCTTGCACTGGTATTAGGGAGAACACTTCTGGGTAGGATGCCAAGTGTGAGAATGGCTGAACAAACAAACAATTCTAGAAAAATGTAAAATACAAAATTAACTTACAGAGAGAAATGGAATTGGATGTAAATATAGTCATACATGAGTTTTACTAAAACTCCAAGGAGAAAACACACTGTATACACTGTTGCAGGCAAAGGGGGGAGGGAGAAAGCTAACAGTGCGTTTTAAAGTGAGAATGACCCAACCAACACTGGACAACGAGAGGCGAGGAGACACAGAACAGCCACACCTAGGAACACGAGAGCCGAGATCAAATCACCGCCCCCACCCCGGCTGACTCCTGGTCCCTGGTCAGGGCTGGCGTGACCAGAGGCTAGTTCCAAGGCCCTGGGTGTGTCCCTCGGGCAGTGGTTGACAGCTCCCTGGTCCTGACCCCTGCATCACTCAGGGACAATCCACAGCCTGGTGGTCAGCCACTCCTTGGAAACCCTAAACAGGGTCGCTATGAGTCAGAACCAACTCAACAACACTTACCAACAAAATACCCTGGCCCCCAGCAGCCCTCAAAGCCTGGACGCCACTCTGGGGGAGCCAGACCCACCAGAACCCCTGTGAATGTTCTCTGCAAGAGAGATGTGGGCACAGAACACTGTGGGCCATTCATGCACAGGCAAGCCACCTGCATGGACCTGGGTTACAAAGCCAGGTCCACCTCCAGCCACCAGAGAACAGGCTGCCTCCCCTACCCCCCACCCGCCCCTGGCACAGTCTCTCCATAACCCTGGCACAGGGAGACGCTTCTGATTCCAAGTGTAAACCTATGGGTTGACATGTAAACACACAGCCATGTGGCAGTTCCTCAGGAAGTTCAAGAGAATTACCACACCATCCAGCAATTCCAATGGAGCTGATACACACACACACAGATACACACAGAAACAGACACAGAGATACATACAGAGACACACACAAAGACACACGGAGAAACACAGATACACACACAGAGACACACATAGACAGATATACACACATTGACAGACACACACAGACACAGATACACACAGATAGAGACATACACACTCAATACACACACACAGACATACACACTCAAGACACACACACACTCGGACACAAACACAAACAAAACCCGGAGACACACACACCCAGACAGACACACAGAGAGACAGATGTACAGACACACCAGCGCACACACGGAGAGAGATAGAAAGAGCAGGCCTACGTCATCACGCCCCACTCTGACGATTTCTGTGACTATCTCCATCCAGTATTCATTTTCTCAGTCTCCAATCTTTTGGTAAACTTGTCCTTAACCTGCTCCAAGCCCACTGAATACTTTCCCCATATCAGTAAAGATATCCCAAAACATTTAAATGACTGCGTGTTCCTATAGGGGGTATGGGACACAGAGGGTCCTGGTCCAGCCTGGTGGAGGAGGAGACATCTGGCTGACTTGAGCGGCCTCTGCCTGTGGATCCAGTGGTCCTGACCCTCTCCTTCCGAGGCCCCACCCTGGGCCGGGTCAGCTACTGGCTGCGTGGGGTGGGGAGTGGGTGGGGAGAGAGGCTGGGAGCCCCTGCCAACAGTTAGCCCAAGAGCCGGTCTAGCACCCCTAGCCCAGCGTGGAACTAACTTCCTCACTCGCTCTAGGTCTGCTGGACCCACAGAGCAGCTCCAGCCCCAGCCCAGGACCCGCACTCACGCTTGGCGTGCTGGTCACACAGGGCTGCGGCCCCACCCCAGCCCAGAGCCCGCACTCACACTTGGCGTGCTGGTCACACAGGGCAGGCCCCACCCCAGCCCAGGGCCCGCACTCACGCTTGGCGTGCTGGTCACACAGGGCTGCGGCCCGCATGTCGCAGAGCCTCAAGGAACCCTTGCTGCTGCTGTAGACGAAGAGGTTGCAGTGATGCGGGTGGAACTCTGACGCCGTGATCACCTCCGTCAAGTCTTCCATGTTGGCCGGCTTGATGTCCACGATGTCTGCGCAGTCAAGGGGTGTCCCGCGCAGGCATGGCCCGGCAACGCGCCTCCCTGCAGGCCCGCCCACCCCGGCCCTCCCCCTACAGACCCGCCCACCCCCAGATGCCCCTCCCAAAGACCCGCCCACCCCGGGATCACACCTAACGGCCCTCCCCCAGCAACCCCTATAGACCCGCCCACTCCCAGATGCCTCTCCCAAAGACCTGCCCTTCCCCACCCCCACATCACACCCGAAGACCCATGCACGTCCTGATGCCACGCCTAAAGACCCGCCCACCCTGAGATCACACCCAAAGGCCCGCCCATCCCGGCTCTCCCCACAGACCCGCCCACTCTCATATGCCCCTCCCAAAGACCCGCCCACCCCGTGATCACACCCAAAGGCCAGCCCATCCCGGCTCTCCCCCAGCGCCCACTATAGATCCGCCCACTCCCCTATGCAGCTCCCAAAGACCTGCCCACGTCCTGATGCCACTCCTAAAGACCCGCCCACCCTGATATCACACCCAAAGGTCTGCCCACCCCAGGCCCTCTCCCCGCAGGCTGCCTCACCCCCAGATGCCACTCCTAAAGGCCCGCCCACCCTAACATCACAGCCGAAGACCCTCCCACCTCCTGACGCCACTCCTGAAGACCCGCCCACCCTACTGACCCCGCCTCATCCCCTTAGACCGGCTCCCCTCCCCCACAGACTTGACCCCCGACACACACCATTTCCACCCTCTTAGACGGGTCCATCCCCGATCTGTGAGACCCCGCCCCCCAGAACAGCACATCTACACGGAAAACCACCCGTCTCTGACTGCCCCCAACCCCTGCACACTCTGACCTTCGCCCCCAAGCAGTGCTGCAGCTGACCTTCCCAAAGTGGGGTGATCTAGAGGGGGTCTCCCTCCGCCCTCTCCAGACTAAGCATAAAGGGGGTGCTACCCCGTGCCGGTGTCTGCGGGGATATACGAAGTAAACGCTTCTAGGTTTGTCCACCACCCTGTGTCTAGAACCAGTGTGCGGGTATCTGCTATCCCTCAGCCCTCACACCCTCTTCTGGCCTTGACAGGAGATTTTCCCAACCCTCACATGCATGTCCCCACCCCAAGAAGTGACCCTAAACTATGCTATGAGAACTGGATGTGCCAAGTGGAGGCGGCCCAGGGCTGGGCTAGGTGTGTACAGGAGAGCCCTGGAGCCCCTGAGGATGGAAAGGGCGGTGTGAAGAACAGTGTGGTGAGAAAAAGCCTGGATCAAGCTGTACCTGAAGCCACTAACTCTGGGCTGCTTAGATATGGGCGTTGTCACATTTCTTATTTGGGTTTAGGGTCAAAGCTTTTGCAAAGGAAGTTGCCTGGCGCATAGAGGGGTGAGCGTGTCCTGGTCACTCAGCAGTAATGGCCTCAGAGTTCCAGGTTCCGACCGATTCATTCTCAGCTGCCACTGTTGTCCAAACCCAAACCCTTCAAGTGGCATTCAAGGCCCTGGCCTCTCCAAACTCCTCCAACTTCAGATCCTGCTGACCACCCTCCCCTCTCAGCCTGTCTCCTAACCCTCAACGCACAGGCCTCTGGGTCTTTGCATGTCTTGTTCCTCTGACTGGAGCAACCATTGTTTGCACGTGCGTCCTGGGGTCATATGGCCTCAAGTTGGAATCCCAGCCCTGATATCTCCCAGCCATGAGGCCCTGGATAAGCTCCCTCTCTCTCTATGCCTCAGTGTCCTCATCTCTGAAATGGGCTAACCATCCCAGTCGCCAAGGTTTCCCATGAAGCTTATACAGGGCCTGATCTGGAAACCCCAGTGGAAGCTCTGGGGTTCTCTGTGTGGGCACACCCCTCTCCTCCCCATCTGCCCGGCCTCCCCAAGCCACTACAGTGATGACCAGAAGGGGACTTATTCTGACCTCTGCAAACAGCTCTGCTTTCTGGAGGCATATCAGTGACCTAAAGAATTAAGGACCAAAAAAAAAATCAAAAACAGAGGAAACGTGAGCTAATTGGTCCTAACTCGGTGGGCTTCCTGGGCATGGTGGCTTCTGGCTGGGAGAGAGCAAGACTCCATAATGGAAATGCCCATGAAGATTAAGGAGAAAACCCAGACAGCTAAGGGACAATGCCAGCCCTTCCTGAACCTCCACAAACATGGGCTTCTGCTATTGGGGATGCCCACAAAAGGTCGAGCATGAGATTCACTCAGGGACCCAGAAAGTAGCTTCCAGAAGGGGTTCCGGGCTCCCCACTGTCACAGGACCAAGGACTTAGGGCAGACCCCCACCCATAGCGTCACCAGGGCTGCTTGGTCCTATACTGCCTCCTCTCCTTGCTGTAAGTACTTAACAAACAGCCATTGTGGTTTATTGCATAGTGGTGTCTCCCCAGTGAGGGTGAGGTATGTCTACTGCTGCTGTAACCCCGGGAACTCAATAGGTGCCCGTTGTATGTAGAACCTGGGTAGGGCCACACGCAGTAGGTGCCCACTGTATACAGAGCCTGTGCAGGACTGCACGCAGGTGCCTGCTGTATACTCAAGACCTAGTGAAGGATTGATACAAAATAGGTTACCAGTAAGCAGGGTTGTATTCTTTCATATTTATTCTACCTGTATGCTGAGCAAATAATACGAAAAGCTGGGTTCTATGAAGAAAAACGTGGCATCAGGATTGGAGGAAGACTCATTAACAACCTGCAATATGTATACGATACAAATTTGCCTGCTGAAAGTGAAGAGGACTTAAAATGTTTACTGATGAAGATCAAAGACCACAGCTTTCAGTATGGGTTGCTTCTTAATGTAAAGAAAACAAAAATCCTCACCCCTGGACCAATAAACAACATTCCTACCAACGGAAAAAAGATTGAAGTTGTCAAAGACTTCATTCTTCCTGGATCAACTATCAACACTCATGAAAGCAGCAGTCAAGAAATCAAATTATGTATTGCATTAGGCAAATCTGCTGCACAAGACCGTTTTAAAGTGTTGAAGAGCAGAGATGTCAGCTTGAGGACTAAGGTGCTCCTGACCCAGGCCATTGTGTTTTCAATAGCCTCATATGGATGCGAAAGCTGGACAGTGAATAAGGAAGATCGTAGAAGAATTGATGCCTTTGAGTTATGGTGTTGGAGGAGAATACTGAAAGTGCCATGAACTGCCAAAAGAACTAATAGATCTATTTTGGAAGTAGTGCAGCCAGAGTGCTCTTTGGAGGCCAGGATGGCTAAGCTTCGTCTCTCATATTTTGGCCATACTGTCAGAAGGGACCAGTCCCTGGAGAAGGAGATCATGTTTGGTAAGGTGGAGGGTCAGAGGAAAAAAGGAAGACCCCCCAACGAGATTGACTGGCCAAGTGGTAGCATTGATGTTCTCAAGCGTGGCAACCATAGTGAGGTTAGCCCAGGATCGGGCAGTGTTTCCTTCTGCTGTGCATGGGGTCGCTATGAGTCGGTACCAACTTAATGGTACCTAACAACTACAACAACAATTAGACACTGATGGACTGAACCGGTGGGGGGGGGGGAGTCACATAGAAAGTTTTACTCCACCCCAAGGACGGTCCCCCTGAAGGCAGACATGAAAGGTTGTTATTGTTAGGCGCCATTGAGTCAGACTCTGCACATAACATAAGGAAACACTGCCCAGTCCTGCGCATGCTCACAACTGTTGTTTGCGCCCACTGGGGCTGCCACTGTGTCAATCCTTCTCATTGGTCAATCCTGCCACTGTCAATCCTTCTCATTGGCCCATGCTGCCACTGTGTCAATCCTTCTCATTGGTCAATCCTTCTCATTGAGAGTCTCTCTCTTTTTGCTGACCCTCCACTTTACCAAGCATGATGTCCTTCTCCAGAGACTGGTCCCTCCTGATAATATGTCAGAAATAGAGACAAAGTCTCACCAACCAGGTTTCTAAGGAGCTGTTTGGCTGTACTTCTTCCAACACAGATTTGTTGGTTCTTCTGGTAGTCCATGGTACTTAAAATATTTTTTCTCTAATACCATAATTCGAAAACATCAATTTTTCTATGGTCTTCCTTATTCATTGCCAAACTTTCCTATGAGGTGATTGAAAATACCCTGGCTTGGATCAGGCGCACCTCAGTGCTCAAAGTGACATCTTTGCTCTTGGACACTTGAAAGAGGTTCTGTGCAGCAGATGTGCACAGTCCACTACGTCGTCTGATTTCTTCACTGCTGCTTCCATGAGTGTTGGTTGTGATTTCATGGGTGAAAAGTAGGGCCCAGGAAACCCCAGGCCCCTCGGAGGTGGGTATCACTGACAGACCAGTGTGAGCAGCCACACAGAGAATCTGATCCTGTTTGAAGGGCCACCATCACTTCCGGTGGTTTCCCTCTGCCTCACTCACAACCCCATCAGCGCATGTGGAAATTCCCTTGAGATACCAGCCCCAAGTGAGCCCCACACGATGGCCCGGTGCATGCCAACAGCGCTGCACAATGCTGCCGTCTTCTCTGTGTGCACGAGGGCACCCAGCTCTGGGCAGGCAGGACCTGAACTAGGCGCCTCAGGGACACGGTTGTGACAGGCTGTGGAGGAAGCGGTCAAGAGCCCTGGCTCTGCCGCTGTGAACTGTTTGGCCCAGCTGTGCCTCAGTTTACCCTGCTTCAACATGGCTCTCACACCCTGACCTCTGGGTGTGTCCAGAGCAGAGGCAGTGGACGGGGCTGGGGAGTCCCTGGTTCCATCCAGCTGTGCAGGGCTTACTGTGAAGCCCCTCAAGGGCCCAGGTGAGCAAGCACAGGTGTGACCATCATGGCCAATGTTTGCTGTGCCCAAGATGCCTGTGGACAGGTGGCCTCAGCCATGCCCAGCACAGGGACAGCAGAGTGTTCCTCAGAGAGGGCCGTGGATGCCCACAGCCTGGACTCCCTCAGTTCTTGTTCCCTCTCTCCACCACAGATCTGCAGGAGTCCGGTTCTCAAACATCAGATCCAGCCAGTTCTGCCCTGGGGAGCAGGCCTGGCCCTCCCTGCTCTGCCCCAGCCTGAGGACTC